AAACTGTTCTCCCAAAGTGAAGGCTATCGAGAAGGAAGGCAGGATTCTCAGAGCAGCTATGTCTAAAGGGCGGATCTTCAAGCTTTCTCCCGATGTCAGCTAAGCTAAAAGCAATGGGCACTGTGGTTGGGGGCGGCAGGTTGTCGCCACGTAACTGGTGGAAAGGCTGAGTGGGATGTGGGCAAAAGCACTCTCGCAGCCCTTCCACACAGGGAGAAAGAAACGTGTCCAGCCATCTGGTAAAATAGAGCAAAGCGAATAGGGTAGAAGAGGAAACAGTTCTTTACGGCGATCTGGGTGGAAATAGATGAGATGGCGTTTAGATAGCTATAGCTTCGGGAAAAGAATCCTTCTCCGAGATCATAGAAGATGTACAGTTGATATTGTCGCTGTCAGTCAGGACGGCATCGAAGGCATGGGTGAGCTCACCCGGACCGCTTTTACCTTTGGTTGATTTCTTCCAGAATCGATCACTATTGGTAAACAGCGCAGCCGGAGCACTTACTCTTTCCGTCCGTTCCGACATTGCCCCGACTGATTGCGGCAATATCAACTATACCGTTCAAGGAGTTTACCAAAACTTTTCGGCCTATTTAGTAGCTTACTCGTTTGTAGAAAACTTACAGAATATACTGTTTTCTTAAGATTCAACTTGCTCTCGATCTCCTTAAACATATTTTGGAAGACGGTGAAAAATGGTAGGTTATGTCCTTTTTTGGAGTTCAAAGTTTGTTTTTTGTTTCACTGTTTTAAACAGGGCTCCCCACCAATCGCATAAAACAAAGAGCGCATATATCGTCGCATTAGATAGGGTCGTATTTTGTCATAAGAACAACTTCCTGATAAATCATTTTCCCATTTCACGCGCGCTATCGCGTTAAATGGGAAAATCTTTCAATCGAATCTTATACGGGAAAATCGAATGGAAAAAAATGGGAATATCCGCGTTTCTAGTTGGCGACACCGCAAAATTACTATTCTCGTTAGTTGATCGGGGGTATTTTCCCATCCCCTCCCTTATAGCAAAAGTTCGGTAAGATAGTAGATGGGATGGGAAAGAGGGGTGTACTATAGGAGGAAATTAGGGGATGGGGGCATATTTTGCAAAATTTTCACAACGTCATGGTGTGCACTGGTTGTAAAAACTGGTTCTGGACATGCAGTACTTGTATGGGAACCATCTGGTGCTAAGGCTCTACTGAGGGTAGTTGTGCCGCTTGGTTATTCAAACTGTGGCTAAGCGTAATCAGCAGCGCACGTCGTTCTTTAGAGATCCCCTGCGAGCGGGATTATATTTGGTCGCCAGACGGAGGGGGTCGTATTTGCCTTCGAAAAAATGTTTTCAGTTAATGAGTTTTCTTCTAACTTCCCCGGGTTTCCCTTTTTTGAACGCTGCTTCTCTAAGCCCCTCCCGCTCGACAAACGGCAATTTCTTTATGGGGGAAAATTCAACTGCGGAAAAGTGGTAGGAAGTGGGAGAGTCTAGGAAGATGGTAGGTAGGATGGGAAAGGGGAGGAGCATCGTAGCAGAGGAGGAGTTTTGAGGGGATCGCAATTTGCAAGCTGTTAGTAATGATTACGCGAGCCAGTAGGCTGTACTAGTGCCCTTGTGGTAGTTGTAATAAAAGTAATATTGCAGTGTCATTGTTTCACAGTGGACCTCCTTTTTGAAGATCCTCGAGAAGCATATCAAAAAACGTTTCCCTGATATTGCCGACTGCTCAACGATTAGCGGTGAAGTTCTTCCCTTGGAAAGGTCCTCCCTAGTCCTTTAACATCTTTTGGAATGTTACCGCAAAGGTCGTTTGCTTTAGACAAGATCGTGTGAACAGTTTCAACGAAAATGGCAGTGGAGTTAATGTAATGTTGATTTCTATCACAGCTGGTGGTGTGGGACTCAATCTTACTGGTGGTGAGTTGTAAAATTCCTTTTGTTATAGCCTTCACAAGGCACATCTTCGATGGGGACAACCCAGCAGGAGGTGATTGGGTCGCTGGGCTAGGGCGGAGGGGTCGTATTTGGTCTGAGAACTATGAGAATATTTTTTTGATAGTTGACTTTTCTTGTT